ACCGACGTCGACGGCATGCACTGCTGTTGTTTGGTGTAGATGTTCTGACTGAAGGCATTACAAGCTGCCGTCGCGCCTGGCCTACTCGTTGCCTATTGTGGAGACTGCTGTCGTGCATAATAGGGGCGCCGGCACAACGCTACAGCAGTCTAGAAGGCATTGAAGTGCCTTCCATCCAATATTGACGGTGGATCCGTGCAGGAAGCCTCACTGCAACAGAGAACAAAATGGATTTGTTGAGCCCTGCTGGTGAGACGAACGACCAGGCAACGGCCATTGGGATACTCGACCTACGGTCGTTTGTCTAAATTGAACGAGAGCTTCTTGAACCCAACGGAACGCGTTGCACACTTTTTCTTCGACGTCGTTGTACATACCGACGAGGCTCTCACTACCGCACAGCCCGCCTGGATGTGGCTGAAGCTACCTGCATTGACGCGCGCGGAACACGCAAAACACCTCCTGCCACACGGCACGTTGCACTCACCTCAGTACAGCCTCGGCCCCCTGCACATCTCCTACATCGCCACCCAGCCGCAGAACAACATCGTCGGCGGTGTCGTCCGCAACTTCCGGGAGAGTCACGCCGGCGTACCTTCCGGCCACACGGCACGCCTTTGCCGCAGCCGAACACTTCGCCGAAGCTCTGAGCTCCATGACGCTACGCTGTATGCGCTGGAGAGAGAGAAACAGAGAGAGGGAGTCCCGCTCAGTCGACTGCTTGATTCAGCAATGCAGCGTGCGTGATGTAGAACCCTGGACCCGTCCTGTGTGGCTGGAGCAATCGCTTACTTGGGAACGTGCGGCATGGACTGCAGGCCGTCAGGCCACCCGGGTTGCAAGGGGCTCCGTACACCCCATTTTTCTTTTTTTTGTTCTCGACCAATGACTCACGGAACCCCTCGCAGCTGGCCTTCACCATAGCGACCAACCGAAGTTTCTCAATAGCTCCGGCTGTAGTTGCGATCCAAAATTAGGGCAGCCCTCTATAGAATCGTCGTGGACACCTCTAAAGTATAGTGGCGTTGAAAAGGTGAAAGGGATCGCACCCGCGACGGACCTCGGAGCGTAAAGTCCGCCAGAGGGGTGGTATCTTCCGTAGAATCTTGCCTACCTGTCCTGCGTCTCCCTGCAACGAGAGAGGGATTAGGGCTGCGTGGAGAGATCTCTGAGGCGAAACGGAGGAAGGCACTGCCGTGCACAACCCACCCAAGGTATGAGCACTTCATGGATCAGAAACATGGGCGAAAATCACTGATAATCGGGCGAATCCAGAGACAAGATCATGTGCGGCACGAACCACCCGGGTGCAGCGGCAGCTATAGCTCAGCAGCAGC